GGGTTTAGACATATTACTGATTTTTGTCAACGAGCTGGAACTTTTTTTTTTTTTTACTAAAATGTAGATTTTAAGGAACATTAAAAATTATATTTGAGTTTTAGAGAAATAACGGAAGATAAAACTTTTAGAATTAAAAAAAAACATTAAAAAAATTATAATGTAAAGATATGAATATTAAAATTTTAATTTCTTTTTACATGTCCCGACCTATTCAGCGTTCAAGTTAATGAACTGAGAAGAGAATATGTCATTTATTGTTGACTCATGCTCACTTTGTATTTCAATTTTCACCCAACTATATATGGAAAATACATAAAAAATAGGGTAATTATAATGGGTAGTAAAAATAATTCATGTATTTTAAAAAATGTCACTAGCTTTTCAAAATTTCAAATATAGCAAAATATTTGAATTTTTATTTTTGAAATTTTTGTTATTCCGATTTTACCCTTATGATATCTGATATACATCCAAAAGTATATCTATATTTGATATAAATCTAATGTATATTCCTCCAATCTATATCGATATATATTCGATATTACCTCTGATATACTTCTGATATATATTATCAGATGTATTCATGATATACATTATCAGATGCATGTATTATACCTCTAATATATATATATATATATATATATATATATATATATCTAATTTACCTCTAATTTATGATATACTAAATATATTTGCAAAGGATATAGTAAATATAAGGTATAAGAAATGTTTAATTTTTAGTGGTATATCAACTGTTTAAATTCTATTTTACTATTGTAATTTGTTGATTGATATACTAATATTATCAATAATGTAGATTACTATATTACTACTATTTATTCTATATTAATATTAATTAGATACTAAATATAAGGGATATCAACCGTTTAAATTTATAAAGTATATCAGATTTCTATTTTTTTTTTTTGACGTGCATGATCCACGTAAATCTTTTATACAATTACTTTATATTTCAATTTTCTTTGCACTATAGTTTTCATATAAAAAAAATAGTGGATATAATAGTATTATATCAACACACATGTATCATAATTATATTAATAGATATTATGGTTATATCAGAGATATATCAGTAGTAAATTGGAAGCATATTAAGTATATATCAATGTTATATTAGTGGTAAATCATATAATCATATATAAGAAGTTATATAAGTAGATATCATAGTTATATCAGTGGTATATCATTTGTATATCAATGGTAAATTAGAGACATATCAAGTATATATCACATATATATAAATGTTCGACATGACAAATCAATGATTATCATACGTATATCAGTGGTAAACCATGTTAAAAGTTCAGTAGATATCATAATTATATCAAAAGTAAATCAATTGTATATCATTATTATATCAGTAGTATATCAGAGGCATATATATTGCAGATGTATATCAGATATATTGCAGGGTAAAGTTATAATTTTAAAAATGGACCTCCGTTTTTGTTGAAAAAAATGCTATATTTGAAAAAAATAAATGTGTTGTTATTTTGCTTATCTTACTAAATATTTTTGCTATATTTCCAAGTGCCCCCTAAAAAATAATATTTGATTGTATTATCCAATTTAAAATGAGCAAATATTTGGGAAAAAGAAAATGCCAATCGAGTTCTAAACGCGTAGCTATGATGATGCCCGCAACTGAA